AGCATTTCAATTTCGTTGCACTCAACCACGCATCTTTGATTCTGGCAGTGGGGTTCCAGATGCACAGCCCACCTATGCAGGTGGGAAGCAGATTTTCTACTTTGGTGTGACTTGTGGTGGGGTTCCCAAGCCGGTCATTGTGAGACCCTAAATGCATTCATCGCCAAACCACAGCGATGTCATCAGTATACAATACATAAACATATTTTACATGCAGAAGCATAGACCCACACCGTCATCATGGATAGCTGTTTGCAAATCCCCTCACACATTCAAAAAACATCATATATAGATATATCTACTTACACCCTGCAATAAAAACCTAGTTATATATATTTGTATATGTATGTATTATATTTATCTGTGCAAGTATGTTGAGGACCTGAATGCATCCATACACAATATCTATATCTTTCTATAGTGATTGGGGCTCCTAGCTAGAACCCTTTTGGGGAATGAACCCAACAAATTTAAAAGCAACCGGGTGTCGAATGTGTCATAGCCTTCCAGGAATCTTGAAAAGGGTTTATATATGTGCTGTATCTCCATTGCATTTTCCCCGAAGGTGTCATGGCAACTGAATTGCTACTAAGTTGAATTGATTAGATATAGGGAAGGCAATGGCACATTTTTGTCTCCACACAACCCATCAAAAGTCACTCTCCTCAGAATGTCCTGTGAGGCCAATGGTGTTGCCACAAGTGGACGGCCTCAGCGATGATGAGCAGACCAATGACAGAGGGCTTCAGAGACTTCCCAACAAGGTTGCCAAACAATTGGAACCCCGCACAGGTTTCAAACGAAAGGTTCAGAGTCAAGGCGATTTCTGCACTTTGGATCTCAGAAGGTTGAGGCAAATGATATCAAGGAAATGTGGATGCCGATGTCAGTGCTTTAAACCTTTCAATGAATCCATTCACTTCTTTGAGAAATGGGTGGCACTTCGAAAGTCCATGGTGAACATGACCAAGCTTGAGAAGGATGAATATGTCAGAATCCAAGTCCTTTGAAAAACAGGTTATCTATTTCTGATTTATGTTTCAAAATTCCTGTCCATGTCACACCAGAAATAGATACCATGTTGAGCATCCCTACCCAGGTCTTCAAGCTGATGAAGGACATCTTCAATGTCGGCGCCTGTCGTGGATCCCGGCACTGGAAGGTCTGCGGGTCCACGGTTTGTGGTCGGGGCTTCATGCTTATGATTGGAATTGGAAAAGGTCGGTTTCAAACTTTGGCTCATGCTGCACGAAATGGGGAAGAACATTGCCCTTTTGATTCTCGGTACATTCCAAAGGGTCCCCGAGTTTCCGATCCTAGACGGGAAAAAGTCTATCAGTTTTTGCTGGGCTTATATGATGATGTGGCGGAGCATATCCCGGACAAACTCAATTCGAACAAACGACCTCGCCGTGCCCCATTGAAGCTTGACCCAGCGAACATGGATAGGAGTACAATCAAACATTTGCCTGCAGGGAGTATAAATGACTATTTCCGACAATGCAAAGCCAGCATCAAAGATGAGACCCTGAGTCGGAAGTTATTTTGCTCAGAGCCATGCCTAAAAGTTTTGTCAAACAGTTTTGAAATATCTTGTATATGTTGGTTTCTATTGTCTGTGTGTTTTCTATCTCATTTAGAGGCATAAGTTTTTCCATGCTGGTTCCCAGACATCCCAAGGTATGGCAGAGTGACTTTTGCCATCGACTTCGCATTCGTTTCCAGACTCACCATTCAAAATGCACGCAATGTTTGAGACACCGTTTAATCATCCGAAAGCTGGGCCATAATGGCCCAGCACGGCGTGCTCAACACCAAGAACTGCAAAATCATCTTGCCCGACAACATTCTGACAGGAAAGTGTATTGGGAGTGTAGGTCCCGGAGCCGACTGCATTCCACTTCACTTGGAAATCTAGGTACCTTCGAACTTTGTGGAATCCTTGATTCCATGGATGCTGTGAAGTATGCCTGGCCTCGCAGCCAGGTAATGTCATCCAAGCTGTTTTGCAATTTCAACCGGCCCAGGATGAGTTGTACAGCATTGTTGCTGCATGGGCATTTGTGCCTTTCTGTTTTGACACCAAACACAATCAGTTGCAACTCATCTCGAACAGCAGAAATTGTGGCGCATGGGTTGTCATTTCTCATCCAAAAGAATGTGGATCTCAGAAATGCTTTTTTCCACCTACAAGCTGACAACGCGTCCAAAGAGTGCAAAAACCAATGCCTGCTGAGGCACCTAGGAGTTCAAGTTGCTTTGAAAAAGCTGAAAGGGGCCCAGATGTCATTTTTGACATCTGGGCACAGTCACGAGGACATTGATGCCATGTTCGCCCTACTTCGATCTTGGCTTCAAAGAACACCAGAAATTCACACTCCATCAGATTTCCGTGATCGGTTGCAGGCTTTTTTTGATGATCCTTCCCACAGACCCTACGAGAAGTTCCGTGAAGTTGTCATGATGTCCAGGTTTCGAGATTGGATCTCTTCCATTGGCTTAGCTCTGCACGACACCAATTTTCAAATGTTTTTTTTGGGAAAGATATGGGAAAGATTTTTGTCAATCGTCGTTTTTGAAAGTTCTTTGGAATAAGCACTCGAGGAAGAACTTTTGGGGGACCTATGTGGATCATGCCCATCTGAAAGGCATAGGTGGCCCTGGGGCACCGCATGCTTTTCGCATGGAAAGGTTGGAGGATACTGGATGCTTGTATATTTAATTACGCTGGCTTTGCATTGCTCAAATCCCTTTACAACAATGCAACATGGATCCATTTAGGTTTTCTCAATGCTTAAGTCCGGTCACCGGGGGATGCTATCATCCAACCAAGATATGAAACAGGGGGATCAAACCATATCAAATTTTAAGGTTAGTACAATTACCCTCATTGGGGAATGATATGGAAAGATTATAAAATACTTTCAAAGTAAGGGATTAGTAGGTATATCATTTAAAACCCTTATCGTACCTTATTCGTTGATCCTGCCACTCAACCAATGGCCCATTGCCAAGGACTCCGTCGTGAAGATTTGGACACTTCCTTCTGGAACCGTCGTAGCTATGTGCCCAGCGGTGCCGATGTTGTGTTAAGGAGACATGGAACTCATCTTACTTAAAGAGATTGCCCCACAAACTTAGAATCACAAACTTAGCCTACTGTCTTGTGTGAGGACCAAACGATTTCTTTCCGACCGAGATTGGCACCCAACTGCCATCCTGTTCTTGCCAGCCTCTGCAGCCAGGGCATCGCAGGGACATGTGCCACCAGGCGTGTCCTACTGGAGCAGCACAGGGGTTGCTCTTGTGTTTGATTAAAAAGTGTTGGATTAAACTGTGTTGGATCTAGTTTTGATGGGCCCTGCACCGCGCAAGTCTTCATGGAGACCCCAAACAACGAGAACTCGGAAGAGAACAAAACCTACAGAAAGTATGCTGCTTTGATGAGTCCAATCCTCAAAGGGTGATTGAATTACTGGTTTTGGGGTTCAAAGGTATACATTCCGCTTTGGGTTTCCCAGGTCAAGACCCCTATGATATGCATTCCGCTGCTCTCGCTTTGGAGAAGCTATCCCGGGGATGTCATGAAGACCCGCTCTTGGATGTCAGGTGGTCAGGCCCTTATTTTTTTGGGTGAAATCTCGTACCTAGTTATGTGGGGTAACAACATCTAGCTTAGCAATTTTGTGCCGAGGGCCCTTCCTCAACTTGGTCCTGCAGTTGGACCTGGAGCTATAGCTGTGCAACATGTTCCAGCTCAAAACCTTGATGCAGTGTGCAACTTAGCAAGACACGCTGTCACATCATCTATCTTTGCTGATTATATCCTGTGCCTTCAAGGCGCCGAACAATTTGAGATTGGTGGCTGAGCGGCCACCTCGTGCTGAGATGGCTCGGTACCATGATTCCCAAAGGTTTTCGGCTGTGCACCGTGCCGCAGCAAAGTTGTGGCAGAGAGGTGTCCCGATGCCAACTGCCATGAAAATCATTAATGAAGCTGTTGCAGAAACTTCATAGCGTATCTTGTCATACAACACTGCGGGGAATGCAGTGACAGGTTTACATTTGCCGCAGCAATCATTGGTAGGTTTTTGTGATGAGCCTGATTTGAAAGAGTAGTATTTTGTGATTTTTCACTACAACATAGAGCTATTTTGTGAAGAGCATTGTTTTGGGGGGGCGGCATTTGTGAAGCTGACCTTGCTTTTAGGGAAAGGTCCTCACTGGCTTAGACCTCAGATTGTGAAGGTCTTGAGTCCTTCGCTTTTTGCTTTGTGAGGGGCCTTTTCTTCACAAACAAACGTCTAGAAACTGAATAGCCGTTTGTGCTTAGCGAGGGCCTCACTAAGCACAAAAGCCAATGCACCCGTGAGTGTTGCAAGAGTTTTCAGCTTTAGACTGTTTGGAAATTCTGATTTGGTTCCAGAACCGCTCAGTTTGTGCTTAGAGAGAGCGTCACTCGGCACAAAATCCATGTGCTGTAGAGGGGAGCTTATTGTGAAGAATGACTCAATCACAAAATCAGAAAATAAAAATTGGCAGCTGCCAGCAGGGTCTAACCAGCTACTAGCGTTTTGTGCTTAGCGGCAGCGTCACTCGGCACAAAACAAAAATGTTGGGGGTGACCTCGGCACAAAATGCTTCATAACAAATACTGCCTCGTCACAAAACCACCTTTTGAGATGGGGGCTCGGCACAAAACCAGATTTTGAGAATGGGGCTCGGCACAAAACCCAGTTTTGAGAATGGGGCTCGGCACAAAACCCAGTTTTGAAAATGGGGCTCGGCACAAAACCCAGTTTTGAGAATGAGGGTCGGCACAAAAACCATGTAAATCCCCATTGCAAAAAAAAACAGTTCTCAAATTTGTGAATGCTAACACAAGTCCATTGGGGCCATCAAAGTAATGGGTGGAGATCGGAAGATCAGGTTTCTTATCCCCATTACCTGTCCTGCCTCCTGTCAGAATCCCCTTCCTGTCCTGCATCGCTTGCCAGGTCATGCCTCCCAAGAAGCGGGCATCCGGCGGTGGTGGCGGGACTGCCGGGAAGAAGGCCAAGGGATCCGACCTACCTGGGATTCCACCTGATGCCCAGAAGATGGCTCACATGGCTCTCTTTGACCGATGGCTGTTTCTTTGATCAAATTATGTATCATTACCCATTATGTATCAAACCAAATGCTCATTATGCTGTTCTTACACCCAAACCAAATGCCCAGGTCGGAGAATGTTTTGGAGAAAGACCATAGCCTGGACTCCTTCCTAACCGAGAAGCTAGAGACCGAGGAGGGGCTGCATCATTCTTGCAAGCAAAAACATTTTGATTTTCCTAATAGTTTGACAGGAGAGCGCCCTTGAATTCTACCGATGGATGGATACCACTTTCCCGGCGGAGCCGGGTGTGTTTGAATCTTAGTTCATTCTATTTACCATTTTTTAAATCTAGTGTTGGCTGCCTACATCCAGGTCCTATGCCAAACCGGGAGATGTCGGAAGCACAGGGCCCTGCCAGATTCGACCTTTCAACCTGCCCCATCGTAGTGACTTTGGGCTTCGAGGGACAGCCGATGTTGTGGGGTGCCCAGTGTATATCAACCATTTCGTGTTGATGATAAGGCAAACCAGTTCCATATGATGTGTACTTGTCGTTCATGCAAACAAACATCTAAGGATGTGCAGCGTCAAGTGGCCCAGCTTATCATGTTGAATGGAATGGTCACCGATGCCAATCAACCAGGGGTTGAGAAGTTAGTTGCAACATTTCTTGTCCCTTCCTGGCTACTTTCCCCAGCTCTGGACATTGACATGGAGCATGGTGGAGCCTACTTGGGTCCCCAAAAGATCTTTCTGGTCAAAGGATGGACACGGGCAGTTTGCTGCTTGACCGTTGCCTATGCCCTCATGGATTGCCCCGAACTCCTTCAGGTGGGGATTGGAAACATGTTTTTATATATTATATATATAATTTGAAACCAAGAGCTCAACCGAAGTTCCAACCATCTCTCCCGAATGGCCTTTGCATCTCAATGGCAGGCGACACCTGACGAGGTCAAGAAGTGGCCCGGCGTGACTATCAATTCAGCCAGTGGACATTTTGAAATGGACCACACTTTTCAGCCATGTTTTATTTGACACCATAAGGTCCTTTTCCTGTCAGTATGTGACACTACTGCCACCGGAGAACACCAAGATGGTTGACACAAATCGAGGACCGCCCTTCAGTCAATGTGGAAATGGTTGAGTTGTACATGGCATCATATGTCCAAGTAAACCTCATGTCCCACATGTTTTTACTTATATATATATATATATTTATCTATATACTCCCTCATATATATATATTCTCTCTCTCCGCATTCCAGGTGTGACTTTGAGTTCCAGTTTGAGAAGAAGACCAAATTGTTTCAATTTGGTGTGTCAGCTGGAGTTTCTTTGCCGGACTGGGGTTTCTACGGAACAGAGCATCGCATGCCTGGAAGTAGCTTACCTCCACTGTTTGTAACATTTTGCACAGACCAAACTTTCAAAAGACAAATGGTGTCGTAATATGGTTGACTTCAAACTGGAATCCAAATTCCCAAGTGATTTCCCCAAGGCATATGAGAATGTGTCTACCTTCGCAGCTGCTTACAATGTCGGGAAGGTGGAAAGCAAAGCGGCCATCAATTTACTTCGGCATGTTCCGTCCTCTGTGAAGTCTGCCCTTACAGCCCTGGTGAGGTCATTGGTGAATAACACATTATGTTGAATATTTTTGGGGCCACACACTAACAAATGGAATATTTTTGGGCCCTGATAGGCGATTTACCATGCCGAAGTTCATAACGCATGAGCCCTTGGCCCTGGAACTCTTGAACACAGGACATCAGACAGCTTCAGGAACACTGCAGCCGTGGACCAGGGTGTTGACAAACACAGAACCGCTGTTGCACTTGATGATTTCACGCATGGAGTCGGACTACACAGCTTTGAAACCACAAATGCGAAAGCCGTGGACTGGCAGCAGTGTTGTTTCTAGATTGAACTTGATCAAAGTAATTTGTTTTGGATGCTTCTACCCTTCCAACATTTTTCGTATATATGTTTAAAAATACCCGGCAATGTGATTGAGGCACCTGTCACCCGTACACCGGCCCAGGAAGCCTTGCAGCGGGTGTGTGGAGCCTTCCTGTGCGCAGTGGAGGCATATCAAGCTCTTGTTCCCAAAGCGTTTTGTGACAAAACGCTGCCAGACATCAAGAAGGCGTTACTTGCTTGGATTATGGGTCTTAAAAAATCAAGTTTTTGATTTGGGGGTACCAACAACATCCACGCAATGGGAGCCCAAAAAAGATACTCAGTGACAGTTTCTTTTTATTTCCAACATTTCAACTGCTACTTCAAAACCAGGTTTATGATACGCCATGCCGACTCAGATCTGACTTTGCTGCTTTCGGGGTCTGTCCCGCCCATGGACATCAGCAAACTGTCAATTTTCTCTTCCCATGTTGCAAAGTACAATGGAGAGGCCAGGGGGTTGAACATTATTTCACAAGGGAAAATGTTGCTAAATAAGTTTTTTTAGGGACCCAGTGTGTTCCAATAGAACCAGTTTTTGGAAAGGTTTGGGAATGTTCCAAAACACCAGGTGGACCAGATTCAGCACCAACGAGCTGCAGAGCAACGAAGCTGCAACCCAGTTTTTTTTTTATGTATTATCCCCAACTTGTTTTGTGCGGGTGCCTTGGAAATCTCAGGGCTGTGGGGGTATAACATCATGCAACATGAGGCTCTCGGCACAGTTGCTTCAGACAACATGGAACCAGATGGAATTGCAGTTCCAGTCGGATGTGATGAAGATGCGTGAGTGGGCCCTGAAATTCGAACTCTTCAGTAAGCAGCAGGTGGTGTGTTACTTGGGGTGGCTAAAAAGTTGGAAACAAAGATGGGTGTATCCTATATATATATATATACACATACACACAGAAATATATATATAAATTATACATTATACACATATTTACATTCAAGGTTATAGTTCTACGGGTATGATTTGTTCAAGTGATAATCGTTGTCTATAGTGACATCCTTCAGTTGTCAAATTCTCTGTTGAACCTAGACACACCATTCTACCATCATCCAGGACCCAGTGAGTGAAGTGCCTGGGTGATTGCCAGCTTCTCCAGGCAGCCATGGACTTCAAGTTCCTGAACGAGCGATACTTGAAGGGGAAGGAGACGGTTCAGAAGTTTCTCACAGGCAACCACAAGATGATTTGCAATGACAACTTGGTGCTAGGGCATGGAACCATAGTCGAGATGCAGGCAGCCATGGGCCAGAATGGGTTTCTCAACCTTTATGAGGAAAAATCTGAACATAATATCTGAACCTTGTAAAATTTTGTTTCGTGTTATTTGCTTGGGGTGCCTAGTAAGGCTCACGATCCTGATTGTGGATGCGACCCTTTGGCCACAACGTACCTAAACAGATACCAGATATTTTTTTTCCCCAAAGTTCCTAGCCAAACTGGAATCGGGACAAAAAAACTGGGTTCAAAACCAGTTGATGGCATTAGTTGATTGCAAGAGTTCTTCAGGTCAGCTGTCGATTGATGAAGCCATCTCAGTATGTCAGAGCGTATCTTCTGGAAATCAACGAACCCTGTGCTGGTTCATGCTCCCCCAGTGGCACAGCTCAACCAGCAAGACCACCGTAGTGAAGAATCGGAGACTGCTGGAGGACAAAGTGCTTGGGAATCTCATCTACAAATTGGACAAGTTTTTATCTATAGTACTTCATGTTTGGTTTCCCTTCTCCTTTCGGGAAGCAGTGTGGGGATTTCAACATAAAGCTTGGTCACCAGGGAATTCTTCCATCCATAGAACAAAGCATGATTTGCCACCAAAACTCCTAAATATTTCCCCTGGCATCATCGCACCTTGCTCAGGGTTATGGACGTGTATGAGGTGGCAGTCAACTTTGCTGATTCGGCACACCAAGGAGACCGAAGGAAGAAATCACAACAATGTACCTTTGGGGGTATGCTTAACCAAATTTTGAATCCCAGTTACCCCCAACATCATTTCCCTTGCCAAGATTCCAAGAGGGCTTCAAACTGGGAACCATCAACGGAAAGCACCAGCTCCACCTAGGCATGGCGAGTATGGTTGCAGTGCACGGTTCCCCTTTGTGGTCAAGGTCAAAAGCACTTCTTGGAAGTATCAGCAACATCGAGCGCAGCAGGGTGAATGAGTTACAGAACCCTGAGCCGGAGAAACCCCTTGCTCCCCACTGGAGGGTGCCTTCCATGAATACATTGCTATATTTTTATGGTTTAGATATTTAGTGGTCGACTACTTTTTGCAAGACCCCAAGTTCATCAACACTGCGTGAACCCCAGGTCCAACAGCGTGGAGTCGCAGCAACAAAGAACATTCTGCTCCAACTCTTGGATGGAATGGGATCGGGATCGCCCTATGAACCACTTTTGGTGGTAGACTTGTTGCCATCGAGGTTCCTTGTTTTGGAGAAACCTTCCTTTTGGCAACATGGTTTCCTTTATAAAATCTTACTTACAGGTATAGCTTGTTGCAAGCTCGTGTTGTAATCCCAAATTGATAAATGCAGGGAGGTCCAAAACAAGATCTAAGCCCTCTGAGGTTTTCTGAATGGAGCAGCGCCTGTTGGGAACTCCAAAGGGAGAAGCTCCTGTCAGAGTCTTCTGAGGGGCAGACTTGGGATATCCGCTTTCTTGGCCTTTTCCACAGCGATGATTCCAAGGTGATGACCACCTGCCAGGAGACTTTGGTGGGCCGAGCAATGTCTCAGTGGTGGGATGTATGTCCCGAGGCTGGATCGAGGTCCCGTCCCAATACCAATTTCCAGGAAGAGATGCCCCAGTTGGAGGTTTTGACAGTGTCTGAAGAAGGTGTCCTTCAGAGCCTTTTTTCACAACCAAAAATCGTTTTCATTTTCTTGCCCCAAAAATTGGATGGTAAAGGTGTTTCTTAAATTTCTATGGGTTACAGCCTATGGCCTCAGGATCCCAGAGCTTGTCGCCCAGAAGTATGCTCCCAGTCATGCAGAACCCTTGAATCTTTTGAAGGAGAAGATTGACGACGAGATGACAATTGCCGCTGCTTTGAAATCCTACAATGGGGTTTCCAACACAACATCTTCGGGAAGTGGCACTGCAAACGCAATGGCCCCTGCCAGGACTGCTGCATCCCCAGATTGGGGCAACGAGCCCCCTTTGAATTTCAGGAAACGGATTCAGGTGAACTCAATTTCAATCAGCGACTTTGACAGTGGACATACGTATCTAAGCTCAAAAAGAGATATGTTTGTCGCGGTGTGATGTGGTTCAACTAACATGTTTCAAAAATAGAGTCGTACCAAAATATGTGTTGGATTCCCTTTCCTGACAATTCGGGATCACCTTTTTCATCCCCTGGGTCGGTAACATTTTCCCTTGAAAAAACAACTCAGGGTGGATGCTGCAGCTCCTTTGTCGAGAGAGCCACAGATTACAGTTGCAGTGACAAGTGCGGGAAACCTATGGTTGCTGAACCGCACCTCCAATCATGTGGATCTGGGCCATGGTGAGCTCTTTGGATTCAACACCGGGAGCTATGTTGAGATTCCCTCAGGCTGGTCCATGACCAATACACCAAATATGGGTTCCAAATGATCACAATAAAACCTGAAAAAATTACCCATGGGCAGTCTTGTTCAACAAGTGTGTTGGGCCCAGATTTGATCATCCAACCCTGCAGACACTGTCGCCACCGTCACCGACTTCCTGCCTTGGTGTCTGCGAGACGATCGGACCTTGGTCGCTTTTTGCAAGGGGGATACCAAAGAGGTTGTCAGCCTTGCGGAGGTCATGTGCATGATCACCCGAGAGCGTGGCATTACCGAGTGCCGCGTGATTGACCACGAGCTGGACAACAAAATCAAGGCCCGAAAATCATCGAAAATCTAATTGAATCCGTTTTTTCTTTTGCCCATTGAATCAATGATATCATGGGGATGCCTTCAAGAAAAACATGGGGTACCGTGGGGCCATTGAGCAATCCTGTGCAGGTGAACCAGGACGGCACACAGGCCCCGCTGAGCTACAGATACAAGGTGGTACCGAACCCGCAGATCAACGCTTTCAAGCCCAAGAAGCTCGATGACACCGCTTCGATGGAAAATCTGAAATCGTCGGTCCTTGGCGCAGTGTTTCACAAGAAGTACTCCCAGCTGCCAGTCAACGAAAGCTGCAGGGTGACATGGGAGGCCAGGGCATGTGTGAAAATCACTATATATATATATATTTATGTTTGCACTTTATCATTATCTGTTGTTATGTGCTTCTAAATCTGTTTATCTAGATTTTCCGTTTCATCAGTATGTATTATATATGTTTTTCCAGCTATATCTATTTCTGAGAAATTTCAATGACCATTTTTCACAGTATATTGCTATTTAGCTATCCTTTACCTATCTCATTATCTTGTGTAATCTCTTGGTTTAGCTACCTACCTGTTTTCCCATCTATTCTAATCTACCTATCTATTTATCAATTACTTTCTATATATCTATATATTTCTGTAATTCCCTCACCTATCATCTATTTACATATCTCTCCGGATCTCTGCATTCACATAATATATACATATATATTTATTTATCTATTCATTTATTTATTTGTTTACATTGGATAGAAATGTGTGTGCATATACCAGTTTTTCTTATGATGTCAAATTCGGTTCAAATTGAACATGACAACTCAACAAGTGGTATCTAGCAGTGCAACATAGTTCAACCAACCCTGCTTCTTACCAGCAAACATCGCTGCCAGGTCACAGTTGGAGAGGGCGTTCCGGCTGTCGTGACGCCGACAAAGCCTAAGTTTTATCTTTTGGGCTGTGTTGGCATCAATGCCAACACAGCTGTGAAGCTGAAATGAAGAAGCTTCTTTTGGAAATCGCCCAAATCAGTGGGCTTGGGTTTCCGGTGTGCCGGTTGTGGGCTTGACATAGGGGGGCTCAAACCTGATCCCAATCTGACTATTACCACAAGTTCAAAAAATCTCACCATTCAATGCAACATGAATAAACATATTTTTTTTGAAAACAAAAGGATTGAGTCCAATGTCGCTGCGGTAGCGCGCACAGAATTTTGGTTTCTGGTAGGATTCAACCGCGTTGGATCAGATCGCAATAGCTGTGATGGAACATGGCACATCTCTGTCAAAAAATGGTATCCCCATTATTGCACTTGCTGCAGGTTTTAGATTGCAAACATGTCTTCATGATGGAATCTTATTTTTCCCTTCATTGCCATCATCCACAAGATTTTCCTATCAAAAATGCAGGGCTTTTATACCTTGGTGGCAGCCATGGTTCTACAGCCAGTGGAAAAGCTTTCGGATGAGGAACCGGGGACGGGTTCGAGTGGATCCAAACCAGATCCCAAACCAGTGAAACTGAAACCAAAGGAGAAAGCACCGGCCAAACCGAAGGCCAAACAGGCAGCCAAAAAAAATGCTCCGAAGCCAACCAAGAAAGCCAAGGCGAAAGCCTCCCCTGAGAAAGAAAGTGTTGGAGAGACTGAAGAACCTGTTGCCCATGACTCGGCCACACCCAAGAAACGCCCTGCAGCTTCCGGTGCTTCAAACGAGAAACGTGACTCCAAGCCAGTTCTGAAGAAGCCTGCGGCCCAAGTCGCTGAGTTCAAGGTTCAGAAGGGCTACTATGCCAGGGATCGCAAGTATGGCTTCAAGTGGAATGGCCATGAGCAATACTATGTGACTTTTTTGCAACCAGCTCAATTGTCTTTGAATCAATGCAGGCACTACAACGGTTCGTCAGCATTCCGCAAAATGATTTCTTTTGAAATATCAATGGAAAGAATACTTTTGTCCCTGTGCAACCCAACATCCTGCCTTCACACCGCTGAGTTGAAGTGCCCAGAAGGCATCCCGAAGGAAAAGATGGATGACATTGCTGCTCCCAAGTGGCAGTAATGAGTTGCAATCAAAACAATTGGAACAACTTTGACATCTCAGATTTCATTGTGATGATATGTTTACTTCTTTTTCCAAATGTCATGGTACCCATCGAAATCCTAGGCTGCACTTCGTGATGAGCTCGTGCGTACAAAGGGCAATGTGCAAGCCGCTGACAGTTTGAAGGCTTGACCATCTATGATATTCTATGATTATGTTTCTGGATCTTGTGTTTTTTTGGGGCTGATGCTCAGGTCCTCCTATATACCGTGTTCCCCTGCTTCCAACAACGTGTCAGGATGAGATGCTGAAAGCAGCCCGTGAGTTTCAAGCTGAAGTAAAGAGTATCTTTGGCTCAGACAATGAGGGGGCTGAGCTTGCTGACCTTGCCCAAAATGAGGGTGAGGAAGAGGAGCAGGTTGAAGATGATCCCAATCAGGATGTTGCTTAGGCTGATATGGATCTGATTCAACATGTGTTTTTTAATGATACCGTTTTCCAGTCCAAAAAACTATGCTGAAACCTGTTGGGATTACTTCTCAAAGCTGGGGGCCTGAGAGGCCAGCGGATCCGTGCGAGCAGCTGGGTTTTGAATCTCTTGCCAGACTACCCTCCAAACTCCCTGAAAAAATGGTCAAAGTTGTTCACGCCATCCCATAATTGTTTGCTTGGCACTTGCGGCAGGGATTGGGTAGGCTCAAGGTTTTGACAATCGAACCAATAGAACCTCTCTGGAAAAAAAATACGCCGCCAGGTTCTTGTTTGGGTCATACATTTGGGAATGTTCTGAAACAATGCCCAATGGAAATGCAATGGTCTCCTGATAAAACAATCCATTGAAAGATGGACCCCATACCGTGATTCATGTTTATTGCTATGACCCTTGTTGTTATCAGGAAACCATTGCATTACCGTTTTCTTTTGTGGTGGTCAACAATCCCCAAGTGACTGGGAAATTTCTCAAAGATATGGGTTATTCGAAATTTTGAAACCGCATCGTCCCATTTTTATCACCATGGTTATCTTGATACAAAACATTTTTGATGGTATTTCCCAATGTTTAGACTGCCTAATCCTCTGGTATTTTGGGTTGCGATTCTTTGCAGTTTTGTGGTCAAAAGCTGCAATGGGGGAAACCATGGATGCCCGCGCTGAAGAACATGTGGGCAACTTGAATAGCATTAGAACCGCTTCGTCCAATCCTCAAATTTGTTTTTGATTCTTATCAAGTTTGATCCCAAACATGACCCACTGGATCTTAGGATTGAAATGGTCTGATGAGATGCCAGCAGAAAAATACCTCTATGCGGAAACTGAGGGAAAACCGGATGGAACTTTGAAAACCGATGATTTGACCTGGCATCACTTGGATGAAGCCGATCCACACATCCTAGCCCTGCTGCAGTGGGTTTTTGATTACTATGTAAGGGTCCCATCTTTTGTTGACAAAACAACTTGCTGCTACGAGCAGCTGGTTTTCCAAGTTGTTGATGCCAAGTGGGAGGCAATGGATGGCTGCAAGTGGGGCTTACAGCTGCAAGTTTACAGTTTTTGGTCTCATGTCAATTTGACTTACTACTTCCGCTTGGAGATGGAAGATGACCCTTGACGCTTTGCCACGCGTGCCAAAAAAAGAGAATTCAAAGCGATCTAGCCGTGAAGTGGAGGGTTGGTTTTTCTATTGTTGTTGGTTGTTTCTAGCTTCAAACATTCACACACACACAAAATACATAACATAATATATCACAATATATAAACATATTGTTTGGCCCAAGATTTTCATGGCCCAAAGCCATGTCATGACAGCTTGACTATCAAATCAGCAAAGCCATGGCCCAATGTCATGTCATGACAACTTAACAACACAAAGTCATGGCCCACGTCCCTGTCATTATAGTTTGACTATCAAATCAGCAAAGTCATGGCCCAGTGCCATGTCATGACAGCTTGACTGCCAAACCAACAAAGTGATGGCCAAACGCCAAGACAATGCGGATGCTGCATCAGCAAGAATGCTCAAATAGCCTACGGGTGACCAGGTGCATGGCTCTTCTGCATGGCTGACATAGCCTCTTTATCCAAAACCCTAGATGTAGAACAAAACCCTGAACACAGGGAACACCAAATCATTATACAACCATAGCTAAAATTTAACGTCCCATTGTTACTGCACCCCCAAGGTTTACACCATCGTCAGGCCTATGGACCAAACACCTGGGACTTTCGCTTGGAGGTCCCTCCGGTGGTGGATCGATGAAGGAGTGCATGAAGGAATCTACTATGTCCAGCTAAAATCCCATGGTTATCTTTTGGTAAACTAACGTAGCTATGGAAAATCACCATTTTTAATGGGTAAATCCACTATAAATGGCCATTTTCAATAGCCATGTTAAATTACCAGAGGGTATCTTTTGGCAGAATATCATAGATTAGCCATGAAGGGTGAGGTTTTAAGTTCATCTGATAAACTTTCAGATAGTTGTTGATCCTCGGATCGTTGTGAAAAACGGGTCTCATGGCCGCCCACTGGTCTGAAACGTGCCATGGTGCCATGGTGCCATGGTCAAGCTTCTTGGGTTTTTATTGCCCGTATTTTTTGGGATGGAAAACTCACTCCATTCAGAGGGACTCTAATGTCATACACTCATTGGAAGGAATCCAATTCATGATGGTGGGATGATCATGCTCCGTTCATCCCATGCAACTTGGACCATCGCACATCTAAGCAATGCAGTTGCGATAACAGGAAATGGTTGCGAACCCTTGGCTGCTTCCAGTTTGAAATGTGGTCATTCTCTGGAAACGGGCGCCCTTTGAACGTCCACAACCCTGCAGCATACAAAAGCTTCCAACATATTTTTTTAATTCCTTCACACTGGGGAACGCAAACAGGCCTTTTACAGATGGTGGGGATCTGATTTCGTGCAAGATTTTATGACTGGGTGGGAGGTACACCTTGAACAAACAGTGAACAAACATGAACTATT